TCAAGCAGTCCTCCCACCTTGGCCTCCCAAAGTGCTGGGATTACAGGCATGAGCCACCACGCTGGCCCAGTAAATCTTTCATCCTTCTTCCACTTCATGTTGCTAGACTGTAAGGCAAACATTACATTATCTTCACCTTATGTTTTGTAATCTTACTTTCCCTTTGTGTTACTTCCCCTCTACTCTTGTTTTTAAATTCTACTTCATTTCCCTTTTTCAAGACTTTGGGGTAGTATATATATTTTATATATATATATAAATACATATACCCCCCAAATACATATATATTTTAAATATATATATATACCCCAAATACATATATATTTTAAATATATATATTTTAAAAAGAAAATTATGACAGTACAGTTTGTAATTCTGTATTAATATTATTTCTCCACAAAAATGTTCCTTAACTAGCAGAAAGCAGTTAGTGCTATAATATATAGCAAACATTATCATTTCTAAAGAACAATAAAGATGAATTTTATTTTAAGCTTCATACTAAATTTTATTCTGTAACATTTAACCATGAATTGATTTTAGCAGCTCAACATTTTTTAACAAACTTAAAGACAAGAGATGAAATAATGCTCACAGCACATAACATTAATCTGTAAACAGTTTTTCCTGAAAGGCAAAATGAGGAAAAGACATCCTCATTTCTTTTGAGGATGTCTGCTGTAATGGCCAGTCAGGAACATACATAGAAGGCATATACATGGACTTCACCAAAGCATTATTAATGGTTCATTTAAAGTTTTTTAAATTCACGAAACGGAAAAAAATATTTGAGGGTTGTTGAATGACCATAAAAATGTTTCTGCTGAATAGAGAGAAATTTCTGGTAGCACACTCCAAGGCTTTTGGTCTTGATAGTCTTCTCTTTAATGTGTTTAACAATTATTTAGATGAAGCATTGAGAGGGATATTGGAGGATTAGTGATTAACAGTATGGACTTTAGAGTGAAAAATCTGCAGATGCACAAGTCCTTTATATAAAACAGTGTACTATTTGCATATAACCTGTGCACATCCTGCGGTATACCTTAAATCATCTCTGAATAACTTATTATACATAATACAATGCAAATGCTATATATAGAGCTGTTATACTGAATTGCTTTTTTATTTGTGGTATTTTACTGTTGCATTATTTTTGTGCTTTTGCTTTTGAGACAGGATCCCACTCTGTTGCCCAGGCTGGAGTGCAGTGGTACAATCGTGACTCATTGCAGCCTTGCCCTCCTAGGCTCAAGTGATCCTCCCATCTCAGCCTCCCAAGTAGCTGGGACTACAGGCATGCACCATTACACCCAGCTAATTTTTGTATTTTTTGTAGAGAGGGGTTTCGCCATGTTGCCCAGGCTAGTCTCCAAAGTGTGCTGGGATTACACAGGTATGAGCCACTGCACCCAACCAAAATTTTAAAATATTTTCAGTCTGTAGTTAGTTGAATCTGAGAATGGGAAACTCACAGATACGGAGAGCCAACTGTGCATCAGGACACAAAGTCGCCAAAAGGAGGTAAAGCTCTACTGCTTGTGACTTCTGACCAAAAATTCTCCCAAGCCCTTCAGTCAGAGTGTCTCCCACTTGCCATGAAACAGAGGTGAGGGTGGAAGGACCACACAATCCAGTGTTGTTCTGTAGTAACAAGGATCTTAAAACCAAAAAAAAAATTTTGCAAGTTCACCACTTATCTTTGTCTTTATATTACTATCAATGCTAAGTTTATACTGCCGTTAGACTTCTGCTGTTAGACATAATGATCTCAAATATTTAATTGAAAAAACTTAATTATCCACAATTTTATAACTTTGATTAAATATTATAAAGAATTTGTCCTTATAAAGGGTTTATTTTCTTTACAATTGTCTTATATCCTCATCTACACCCATTTTATTCATTTAGATTAAAATAATCCTTCGCAAAACAAAAACAAAAAAAACCCTCATTGGTTTACAGACAACACATGCATACCATTATATAAGGGGATCTGGAATCTGTGCAAACTACAATTCACAGGCCAAATCTGGCCTACCATCGTTTTTGTAAATCAAGTGTCACTGAAACACTTCAATCATTCATGTGCTCATTTGTTCCTTTATTCCGTACTGTCTTGGCTGCTTTTGAGCTACAATGGCAGAACTGAATAGTTGCAACAGAACCACTTGGCCTGCAAAGGCCTGAAATATTTACTGTGTACCCCTTTATAGATAACTTGTTCATCACTGTAGGTATATACCAGTATTAATTCCCTGTGGACAGGAGCTGGACACAGGCATTTTCTTGAACTGCCGAGGGAATTATAAAAACTAGAAATAATTTTGTTTAAACACACTTGGAAGAGGCAAGAAGAATTGCAGATTAAACGTCTAAGAAAAAAGAAAAGTTCCTTTCCAAATGATTTAACAACCTGCTTGTGGCTGTAAACTATACTACAGTGAGAAGGTCTAGCACAAATTGTTCCGTTTTTTTTTGGGGGGGGGGAGTGGGGGTGGGAAGACCTAGTCTCGCTGTGTTGCCCAAGCTGGAGTCCAGTGGTGCGATCTTGTCTCACTGCAACCTCCACCTCCTGGGTTCAAGCATTCCCCTGCCTCAGCCTCCCGAGTAGCTGGGATTACAGGTGGCCACCACCATGCCCAGTTAATTTTTTGTATTTTTAGTAGAGACGAGGTTTCACCATGTTTGCCAGGCTGGTCTCGAACTCCCGATCTGCTTTCCCTAGCCTCTCAAAGTGCTGGGATTACAGGCGTAAGCCACCACGCCCGGCCTGTGCTGAACAGGCAGGCGGATCGCCTGAGGTCAGCAGTTTGAGACTAATGTGGCTAACATGGTGAACCCTGTCTCTACTAAAAACACAAAAAAAATTAGCTGGGCATGGTTGTGGGCGCCTGTAATCCCTACTTCGGAGGCTGAGGCAGGGGAATGGCTTGAACCCGGGGGATGGAGGTTGCAGTGAGCCAAGATCATGCCACCACACTCCAGTCTGGGACACAGGGTAAGACTCTATCTCAATAAACAAATAATATACTGACATCAGTGAAATTATTTTATTTTAGTAACCCCAGAACATAAAGGCTAGCTAACGCCAGTTGCTAACTGCAGAAATATTTTGCCCTTACTTGCTATTTCAGGAATTGCTTAACACAAATAGTCTTAAGGTGTTCCTTCTACTTAGAAAAATTATTAAGCTCTAATTTAGAAAATTCATAAGCTTTAGCCCATGACTATCCACTTGGCTAATGGTGTTATCATTCCATGAGTCTTAGAATCTTCTTATACACAGAAAGTTTCCCGCCAAATTTTTCTCTATACTTATTAAACAGAAACCCCAAACATAAATACTCAAGGGTGAAAAGCAAGGGGCAAAGTGATATAGATAGATTTAGATCTAAATACAGATCTATAGATCTATCTATCTAAAATGTTTTGGAAGATAATCTGAGTGAAGAAATCTGGAGAATTTTTCCCTAAGCATTTGGGACAAAAATTAATATCTGTGTATATATATATATATAACCTAAATGTATTCTTATCTAGTGAAATTCAGTAAGAGCCCAAAATAAGGATATATACTCAGTAAAGCCTTTTACACAGGAACTAAGAAGTTCACCAAGCCATTGTGTTGTTTTAATCTCTCCGCCAGGCAATCAGGCAGTGAGAAATCCAAACTCAGTGTTTTCTCTCCTCTCCGGGAAGCGTTATTTCCTTCGGGCAGAGTGGCCTCTGTACGGTGGTTCAGAGCCATCTATCTTCCTCCCCAAATCCTATGACCAAGATGTCTTTTAGACACTCGGTAAAAGCGTCTACATGACTTTCCTACGGCAGCCCCATGTGCCTAGATTTACGGGTTCACCAAATTCAGCAAAAAGGAATGAAACCGCTTCTGAGAAAACAATTTTCAACAAGGGACACCAAAAAATGGGCGAAAAAGTAAAGGCCCATTTAAAAAGCTTCTCCTCTTAGTTTAGGCGGCTTGTTCACAAAGAGCAGGTCCACTGGTCCGTGGAGGACCTAGAGGGAGGGTCCCGACCGAGGGGAGAGCAGGCACAGAGCGGACCTCCAGGGACTGTCGCGGGCGCAGGGGCGCGAGGGGCAGCGCAGGGGCGGGAGGGCGAGCGCAGCAGGCGGAAGCGGCCACAGGCGCCGGGCGCGCACTCACACAGGTGGCGGGCAGCGCTGCGCGGGGTTCCGAGGAGCCTCGACCAGACGCAGCAGGAAAAGTGCACGAAGAATTGACATGACCAGAGAGTAGCGGAAAAGGGAAGGGTCAGTGCGGGGAAAGGCATGCGATGGGCTGGCTTCTAGTTTTCCTTTCTTTCTCCTCCAACAACTCACCAAGGAAATCTCACTGAGAAGACAGGGGAAAGGAAAGGAAATGGAAAGTAGTGTCCACGAACCGCTTAAGGTGCCGCAGGAGGAGCCCGAGCCCCGCACCTCCGCCTCGCTTCCCGGTCCCGCCCACTCCGTCCCCGCGCAGTGGCCTCTGCGCCTGCGCCGGTCAGCGCGCCCCGCCGGCCAGCCCCAGTGCGCCTGCGCTCTGCGCCCACGCCCGGAGCAGCCTTGCGCCGGGCACGTGACTTTCCTCTCTCACTGCAGCCTATCCGAGCCCTCTGAGCTCCTCTGGCTCCTCCTCTCCCTCGTCCTGCTCGCGGCCTTGGCCTTGCATTCGCTGGGGTCTCAGCCGCTCGCTCCGCCCACACCGGGATTGGGGCCTGCGCACAAAAGTCTCACTGTGTGGCGTCTGCCCACCAGCTGCGCTTTGCCCTGTCTCTAGTAGGATTTTTCGTTTTTCCCAGATAAACAGAGAAAAGAGCAAGGTTTTCAAGGGGACCCCATTCTCACCCCGTTAACTTTCAAAGACACTTAAAAACCGTGGCTTCCAAATGAGCTTCTCTACAGACGGCCCTGCAGAAAGAGGGAACAGAGGAGACCTAGTTAGCAGTGCCGCCTTCCACTTCCTTGTCGCCTAGTAACGGTTTCCACGGCAACCGCGCAGTCAATAACGCTTAGCAATCCCAAGAGAAATAGGGTGTTTTCTTCCCGAGAGAGTACTGCTAAGAGGGGGTCAAAGGGAGACGATGTGAAAGAACCCGAGGTCCTTGAGAAGGCAAAGAAGTAAGAAAGGGACGGAGATACTGGGACAGGGAAGAAAAATTGAGAATAGTAGCTTTTAAGGAGTCATTTGGTGGCCATGGATCCAACGTGCCCTTCTGAGTGCATTTATAACCTCATACCCAGTGACTTGAAGGAACCTCCCCAGCCTCCTAGGTATGTGGATAAGTAAAGTCTATCACTTGAAACAAGAATGGAGAATACTCAGTATTAATTAAGCCTACGTATACTGGGACTTTTAATAATAAAATGTATTTTTGCCCCAATGAAGTAGCCTTAGAGGATAACTTGTGAGAGAACAGGTCGAAATATCTAGGTATTTAGCATCTTACAGTTTCACAGAGACGGCGGTCCAGCGCTGTGAGATGACCATTTTACACTTAACCTCTTACTAATACGGTATGTGATTATTGTGTAATTTATCTAATATGTGATGTGGTATACAGCATAGCTTGAAGTTTCATGTTGTTGAAAAGAGAAAAATCACAATTCTATTATCTTGTTTATGGATACTTGATGTTGGTTTCAGGAGTTCGGTTGCCCTCCTTCTCCCTCTCTAATGGGATAGTACTTATTTTCTCCCTAAGATTGTTAAGAAATATAAATTCACATTTGCTTCTGAACCTCAGGTTTTTGATCAGTGACACGAAATATCTACTACTATTAGACAGTTTCTAAGGACTTTTTCAGATCTAATGGTTTAATGGAAGGAAGAATGGGAGGGTAGATATGAGCCAAAAAATAGGTAATTGAGTTGAAATTTTACATAGATCTTAGAACCTCTGTATTCTTCAAATCTCAAAAACGTAATAGCAAAGTAAGCACTTTAGTTACTCCCATCTGTAGGGACTTCTTACAACTTGCTTAAATCTGTGGGGAGCAAAGAAAGTAACTAGAGAACATCTCATCTCTCCTAAGACTTGAAATGTTTCCTGTATTTTACCATCATCCTCGTCCTTATGCAGGTCAAAACCACATTTAAAAAGGACTGGACTCAAAAACAGGCTTAGCAACTAATTGTCTTTGTGATCCTGAATAAAGTTTCATTTGTTTACTGATCTGTAAGATAAATGTACTAGATAATATATAAGGTCTTTTTAGATCTAATGGTAAATTATTTTTACTAGTATTGGAGCAACAAGTGGGCAACTTCTTCAATTTTAAGAATCTGGTTTAAACTAGAGCAGTAACTATATTATGTTACCATTAGCATAACAAAATCTAGAGATTGGAAAGAGGAATGTCAAGTACGAATTTCTGAGTAGTGCTTAAGTATCTGGTTTAAACTAGAAAAGTAACTATGCTATATTTCCATTCGCTTATCAAAATCTAGAGATTGGAAAGGGGAATGTAAAGTAATAATTTATGAGTAGTGTTCAAACTGTCTATTGTTCAACCAACTTTTGTTTTCAAATTCCTGCATATTACATGAGATAAAACTCCTACTCTTTGATACACATTGGTAGATTGTATTTCTATAGAATATTAAATTTGAATGTTATTTTATTAGGTAGGTATTCTGTTCCTTGCAAATTAAAAAGTTTTACTGCATCTAGATGATTTTTTTTCAAAAAATTTTATAGAAACAGTCTTTATTCATTTGGCAAGCATTAATGGAGTCCCAATTATGTGTATAACATTACGCTAGTATATCTGTTCTTGGTGATGTTGGAGTGATAGCACAGACTTCTTGGTTTTACTTTGAAGAAATGAATAGAAGAAAGATTTAAGATGAGAGGAAATAGAAGGCACCCAGCTGTGAAGCCAGATGAATAGTTTCTGTTAGATTAAAGTCAGTTTATACTGGCAAAATTCTGACAACTGCCTGACTTTTAATCTCCCATGCCTCAAAGTTTCTAGTCTTTTGGGGAACTGAAATATTAACACTAAAATTTATTACTGAAAACCCTAATGAGAGATGAAGGCACTAAATGAGAACTTAGAAGATGAATGTATGTGACCAAAATTGGAAAAAGGGCACATTCCTGCAGTTGAACTATGGACTGATACTTAGTTATGAAAGTCTCTAAGCCAATGGGAAGCAATGATTCAGTTTTCAAAATTTGAGTTATTCATGATGCATAAGATGGATTCCAAGATCTTCATCAAATCTATCACCCTTTATTGATGTCTACAGTTATTGATTATCTCCAATCATTCCCTTTTTCCATTTTGTTTAAAGCAATATTCCAGTTATGATCAGAACTATCTGTGAAACTATTATCTCCTTTCCATAATTCTTTTTTTTTTATCCATTCAGCCTAAGCTTCCATAAGCATTTTGACAGTCATGTCCCACTATTGGCTCACACTGAAATACCCTGTATGGATTTTGACTGAGGTTGGTGTCTCCCATCCTCTAATTATGTAGCTGATTCTTTTTTACCTGCACTCATTAATCTGTGAGGATATTTTTGAATTTGAATCTTTTATACATTCTGTTAGCCATTCTTCCCAGATTTGTGTCATTTGCCAGTCTACTAAGAATTTCTTTTATATCTCTTATCTATCATTGAACATGGTATATTAGTCTGTTCTCACACTATTAATAAAAACATACCCGAGACTCAGTAGTTTACATATAAAAAGAGGTTCAACTGACTCAGTTCCACATTGCTGAGGAGGCCTCACAATCATGGTAGAAGGTGAAAGAGGAGCAAAGTCACATCTTACATGGTGGCAGGCAAGACAATATGTCCAGGGGAACTCTCCTTTATAAAACCACGAGGTATCATGAGACTCATTCACTATCATGAGAACAGCACAGGAAAGACCCACCCCATTATTCAATTACCTATCACCAAGTGCCTCCCACTACATGTGGGAATTATGGAATCTCATCAATTCAAGATGAAATTTGGGTGGGGACCCAGCCAACCGTATCATCCCACCCCAGCCCCTCCCAAATCTCATGTTCTCACATTTCAAAACCAATCATGCCTTCCCAACAGTCCCCCAAAATCTTAACTCATTTCAGCATTAACTCAATAGTCCACGGTTCAAAGTCTCATCTGAGACCAGGCAAGTCCCTTCCATCTATGAGCCTGTAAAATCAAAAGCTAGGACACAGATAAAATCAAATAATGGGTTAAACAGTTTCAGTTTTTAAAAAATTTTATCAAGATGAATATTCAATAATCATAACAAGAATACTGTTCCCATTAATAATAATATGTTCAATGTATTATAATTTAAAATATGCCAGTTGTTGCTCTTTTTCACAAAAATCCTATGGGATAAGTAGTAATCCCAGTGTTAACAGAAGAAAAATCTCAGGTTCGAAATTTGAGGCAATGATGAAGAACAAGGGCTGAGATTGAGACACAAATCTAATACCAAAACTCATAACTTTAATTGGCTTGCACTGTCTTTTAGCCTGAGTCAATAAAACAAACTGAATACTTTTTGCTTCAGTAAAATCTATAATTATTTAGTTTTTTATAATTTATTAGTATGTGGTGTTTATACACAATCGTGTTCTAATGCAATGAGATTTGTTTGATGAGGCTATCAAAGCAAATGGGAAATTATGATAGGAAAGTAAGGTAAAGCTACAAATGAGGACCTACATGAAATGTTTGCTTTAAAATCACGTACGCTTGCTTGAAGTCTGAAACAAATTTGACTCTACTAGTTAAGATGCCAGCCCAGAAAGGAAGAAAGATCCTTCCCATGCCTCTCAATTACACTCTAAGTCACATTGTCTAAAGACAAAAGTAAAGCAGTAGCTGAAGAGGAGCACAAATGTTCTTGGTGTGCAGCCACAAACACACTTCCTCCAGGATTCATGGAGAGAGGAGACACCATGTGTGTAATATAATAAATAAAGACTTCAGCCGCACTTTTACATTAAATCTACTGCTTTTCCTAAGTCTAATATATTGTTCTTGTTATAGACCAGTGTCCCAGTGTGATAACATAGCAAAAGTAGTTTTGGAGACATCAGCGTGTTGTGCTCTGGGTATGCAGCTATCTGACTGTATAGTTTAATTCAAGGATAGATATTCCTGCTATCTAGATTGGCACAGTCTAATAGAAATGTAATGAGAGTCATATATGTAATTTAAATTTTTTCTAATAGTCACTTTTAAAAAGTAAAAATAACAGGAAAAATTAACTTTATGTAGTTTATTTAATGCAATATATCTAAAATACTGTGATTTGAGCATGTGGCACCAGCCACATTTCAAGTGCTCAATATCCACATGTGACTGTATTACACAGCACAGATGTAGATGAATATATTAACTACATATCTTTTGATATTCCACATAGTATTTCACTCGACAGCTTGTGAGAGGTATTGAGCAGCACTAAGATCATCATTATACTCAAAGACATATGCCTGTGTTGTCAAGTAAGTGAAGAGCAGAGCTATGACAGACAACCAGGCTGGGGGAAGAATTGGCACCTATTTTTGAAAATTTAGTTACTTGATATAGACATGAGCCTGAATTGAATGCTCTCATTTCATGTCTGTAGGTGGACTTAAGGGGTATCTGTGTACATGTAAAAATTATTCTCAAGAAACAATTTGGATAATTTTCTAACCCAGCCTAGGCTTCAGAGTTCAGAGTTCCACACAGTAATGGAATGCTGCAGTAATATTGGCCAAAAATTGAAAAAGAAGAGTTGTTAATCAGATGCCCATTTTGCCCATTAGAGGAAAAAAACCCTCAATTAAGCACTTTCAAACTATCCCAACTTTTTGAGCAATATCATTTATTTGTGTGCCTTTAAAAATAAATGGTTTTTAAAAATGTAAATCTACTGTCTTAATCACTACTACGTGGTGATTATTGGCAGTAAAATACAGTTTTGGTATGTTTATTGAAGATGACAATTTTAGTTTGAGAACAACTTATCTTTCTCCCATAGCTAATAATAAATAGAAAATAGAGCCAATTATCCATCACACTGCCTGACTTCAGACTATACTACAGGGCTACAGTAACCAAAACAGCATGGTACTGGTATAAGAACAGACACATAGATCAGTAGAACAGAATAGAGAACCCAGAAATAAGACTGCCCCCCCTACAAGTATTTGATCTTTGACAAACCTGACAAAAACAAGCAATGGGAAAAGGACTGGCTATTCAATATATGGTGCTGGTAGAACTTGCTAGCCATATGCAAAAGAGTGAAACTGGACCC